GGGGCCAGCTCCAGGACAGGGCAGGAGAATGCAGATCTGGGTCTGGCATGTAACTGAGGGGGGTGTGCTCCAGGGAAGTAAGGCAAATGGCCCAGGTGACGACCACCTGGGGTAGACCCAGGGTCTCCAGGGAATGGCTCGGGGGCAAACGCTGTGTTCTGTGTGTGCAGGATCTGCCCCCAGCAGCAGGAAGGGGGCAGAAGGGAGGCGAAGAGGAGGTACCCAGGACTTGTACCCTGGCTGCCAAGCAGGGTGGGGTGTTTTCATGAGGATTGCTTTTAACCAAAAGTCCTCAGCCTTCTGCAGACCCAGGGCAGAGGTGAGTTGCTCCAGATCATGTGCTTTAAGTAGAGCCCTTTACCAGCCAGGAGACCCAGCCACCCCCTTCCCCGCCCCGTGGCTGGGGGGACACAGAGTCACCTCAAGGCCCCAGCCCACTCAGCGCACAGTGCACACATCCAGGATGCAGAAGCGTGCGCGGCAGGTGGGGCAGGGCACGCGGCTGGCCAGCCAGGTGTCAGGGCGCAGGGGGTCCTGGCGGCTGGCGAACCACTTGCCCATGCAGGTGAGGCACCACATGGGGCGGCAGTAACACTGCTGGCACTCGCCTGCGGCTGCCTCCTGACAGGTCTTCACCAGCTTCACGCTGGCACGCGTCTGCATGCAGCCTATGCAGGCCTCCAGCTCCTGCGGGCAGGTGGAGCGTCACCAGGAGCCCAGGCAGACACCTGTGGGCACCCACCCATCCACCTGGCCCAGGCCCCCACCTGGCTGCTGGGCACTGAGTAGGCCGGGTTGACCTCTACCAGGGAGGCAAATGTCTCCAGGAACAGGTCGCCCAGGCTCTGGTGGATGACCACGTGGGCTGCCCTGCGGATGGGTGCCTGGAGTTTCTCGCAGAGCTCCCCGTACTCAGTGGAGTTCAGCCTGCAGGGAGGAGAGCTGCTGGGGCCCTCTGCAGGGCAAAGGGAGGGGGAGATGGAGGCCATACCCCAAGGAGTGACAGGGCAGCTGTTGCACCAGGACCAACCAGGAGAGATGGCCCTAAGGCCAGAGCCCAGGGACCCAGTGCCAGACGGCCCAACCTGGGCATGGGGCAGACCTAGGAGCAAGGCAGCTGTCCAGCCTGAGGGCTGCACTGTCCTGAGTGCTCCCCAAGAATCTGGGGGAGACGGCTCCAGGGAGAGTGGAAGGGGAGGCCAAGAGTGCAGGGGGGCCCGAAGGAGGGCTATGCAGGAGGGCTCAGTGACGGGTGTCTCGTGGACACCTTGCCTGGTGTCACACAAGTCCATGAGTGCTGGAGTCCACACCGGCTACACCTAGCACCTCCCAGGGGTCATGGCGCCAGAGCCTGGCTCTGGCCTGCCGCGTGCCCTCTGCACCCCCCGCAGGCACCACACTCTTACCGGATGTCAAAGGCCTGCACGGCAGGGTTGGCGCTGGCCACACGGATGGTGAGGAGCTGCACGGGCAGGTTCGAGTCTGGCGAGAGCTCGTGCTGCCGAGACTCCGTCACAGTCAGGTGCACATCCTGCTGCTGGGCCACATGCACTCGGTAGGTGGTCACCTTCATCACCCACACGTCTGTCACAATCACACGGGCACCTGGTGCGCCGGTGGCAAACTTGTCAATCCGCCGGAACTCAGTGTTGATGGAGGAGGCAACAGCCTGCCAGCCCGACTGTGGGAGGGCATAGAGTGCCAGGGTGCGTGCCAGTGGGTGGTGGGCCCACCGGTCACGGGACCAGTAGTAGATTAGGATGCAGGCGACGGCGGGGAGGGTCACGGCCAGCAGCAGGAAGAGCCGCCAGGCGGGGGAGTGGAACCGCTTTTCTGAAGCCGCAAGGCACATGCCCACATAGTAGCCTGCAAAGGACAGGGTGAGCCTCAGGAGAAAGTGGGTGCCAGGCCGCTGTCCACCCCCACACAGCCCTGGGCCCAGCCCTCTGCCCGGGTTCCAGGGTCAGCTCCCAGGGTAAGTGGGTTTTACCCACTCTGCACTTCCCTAGCCGGCCCACTCTGTCCCTGCCTGTGGCAATGGCAGGATATATTAGGGGAAAAGGTTTTTAATTTGCTGCTTTAGTTTCATACAATATGTAAATATTGAAAAAACTACAAAAGCCTAGAAAGAGAAAAATAAACACAATGAAGTGTCCCCTCAGGCAGAGCTGACCCCTGGCCTGCCCAGGGCAGCTGCCTGGACAGGATCTCAGTCTCTCAATCTCACCAGCTCTGAGAAGGCTGGTCAAACGTGGCCCATCCCAGAGCTGAGAAGTTGTGTGTGAGAAAGGAAGCAAGTGTCAAAGAATGATGGGACACGTCCAGAGGACACAAGGCCAGCTTCAGGGCCCTGCTGGCCAGATCGGGGACAATTTGAAGGTCCAAATAAGCAATGGAGACGGTGAGGAGTTGCACTAGCAGCTTCCAGTTCGCAAAAAGTAATAGTCCACATTTGGAGTTGGCCCAGTCACTGCATTTCAAGGTAATGTGACATATAACAATAGGTTACTGGGGCTGGGTGGCTCAAGCCTGTAATCCCAGCACTTTGGGAGGCCCAGACGGGAGGATCACAAGGTCAGGAGATCGAGACCATCCTGGCTAACACAGTGAAACCCCGTCTCTACTAAAAAATACAAAAAACTAGC